ACACTATACGTGTTCTTACCAAACCAGAACGTTCTCAGTCCTTCTCAGCCAACATGAAAAGTTTTGAGTTACGACACATCCCAGGAGACCCTGGGAGAAATGGGCCAACTTGCAAAAGCAATATCACTCCAGCCACGGATAAATCACTGAAACCTGAAAGCTATCAGAGTTAGCGGGTTGCTGGGGGAAATGATTATGGGATTAACGCATGTGGAAAGTGTGTTTTTGCACCATCAGTCAGAGAAACTATTAAAGCCATACAGAACCTACAACAAGAAGTGACAAGGGGAGGAAATTAGAAAGCTGTGAGCACCAGACGTTTACGCTGAAGTTATTTAGGGAAGACGATCGCAACTGGAATGAGCAGCCTTTTCGCCCACCTGGTGCTCTGTCATCTCTGACGCTGATTGGTCACTGCCTCACACAGACTGAGAATGTCTTCGTCTCATCTGAGGGCAAAACTGAGAAAGCTATATGGATTGGATGTTAGGAAAGGGAGGGGGTAAAAAAGATGCATGCTACAGCAAGGGGGAGTCAGGACGATGCTGGGGGGAGACATCGTCACCCCAACCCAAGAGATTGGACCAAGCCCCAAGGGCCCTGGGTGCAGGATCGCAGTGACACTCCTGGCTTAAAGAGGTGGTTAGAGGCGAGAGGCTTCTAGTATAAGTCCCCCCCCCCAATTATAAAACTATATAAAAGGACTTGATTTGATGATACCTTCATTTGTGTGTGATAACTGATTTGATGATAACTATTTTATTCAACTATGGAGAATTTTTTTTAAATTAAGTTCCAGAAGCACAGACAGACCTTCATCCAAATATAGAAACCTTTTTATTTTACAATTTTCAGAAAAAAATATCATACAATTCCAGTTTAATTGTACAGTTTGTTAAATACCTAAATACACCTTTACAGTTGCAATGTCAGTAGAAAAAAAATATTGGATATTTTTGAGATACAAAATGTACACTTCCCTACACATCAAAGCTCACACACCTACACAACATTGTGTGATGGGCCACGTTGGCCACTGACATTAAAAACATTTGCTCCTGTAAATTACGATTATTCTGCCCAACAGACTTTCGACTGAACATGTGAAGGTGGGAAAAAAAAAACCTTTAAAAATGCATTTGGATCTTAACGTTATAAAACGTTTCAGCACATTTACGATTGCTCTATCCCAGCAGCTGTGGAAAAGCATTACATTTGAAGTGTTTGTGTACTTGAACTGTGGTTTATACCATTATATGGGTGCCAGCTAGGGACAGGAATTGAGGATTGGGTCTTGTAGGGAACAGTTCCCAGTAGTTCAATTCCTTTCCTTTGATATGTTTCTTAGTGATGGTGTCGACTCTAAAAACGGTGCCAATGAGAACCGATCTATGTTAAGTGCTAGTGAAATCGATTTGCTAAATTCGTATCCCTAGTGTCTGCAAGGAAGTTTTTCTTTACTTAAATACTTTATCACAGTGGATAAAAGCTGAAATAAAGCAGTGCCTGAAAGTCTTCGACCCAAGTTATGCTTTGATGTAATAAAACAAACTTTACATGTGCAATGGAAAGGTACATATTACTCTGATTGAAAAAAAACCCAAACTTTTAAAAGCTTATTCAATTAAACATAATTGAAGGGATACAGTTGGCAACATCCTGTGAAATTTCCCCAGAGACACAGATCCATTTAAGTTCCTTTTTAATTTAATGCACTTTGTACAAAACACAGTAAAGATGAAGAGCATGAACGCAATTTTGGCATCATCTCGTTTCCTCCCCCATCTTTTCCTGCAGAACAGTCAATTATCATTGCTATCATCCTATCTGCAGAATGCAGTTCCCATCATTTTGTGACGACTCACTAAACTGTCAAAAAAAAATTCACAAAAGGTGCTCCTCATCTTCCTGCCCTCGAGGCAAACATGCCAAGCTTGGGATTATTCTTTCAACAACAGGGACAGAGAGCTGAGTTTAGACTGTAGTGAGATAGCTTAATTTGTTATACTGATAATGTTATTTTAACCTCAGATTTATTAGTGATAGCACCAACATCTCAATCATGGTGGATCCAGGCCTGTGTGACTGGGGCTTTACCAAACATTTTCCTGAAGGAAAAAAAAAAAAGAGAGAAAAAAAAAGTCATGTTAATGACGATTCTGGTTGTGAGACCCAAAAGACTCAACTCTAAATACCAGCAATGACCTCTGGTTCTTTTCTGCGCAGCTGAGGCAAGGGGAACATGAAGATTACTCTGCAGGGAAGATTAGGACATCTAAATAAGACTTTTGCTGTATTTTTGTATTTTATATTTTGTTACTTAAAAATAGGACTTTGGCTATTCTATAAAGCATTTTAGCACGTTCCAGGTCAAATTATATCATGATTTACTGTCAATAAACTGTCAGATACCTGTTTAAACACTGGCCTTCCAGTTGACTAATCATGGCATTCTATTTGACAGCTAAGTTCTACATTTTCTCTAAAATCAGCTCGTCCTACTGCATTTGATCCTGCTGCCCCTGATGTTTTATTGGAATAAGGGATTTTCTGGCCCTACTATAGCTCTTCATGCCTAAAACATCTTTGAAAAAGCACAAGCTAACACATCAGCTACCTGAAACACTTTTCTTACTAATTCTATACAACACAGCCAAAAGTCTGTAATGATGATAATCTTCTTCTTTTTATCCAAGATTTATGTGACAGTTGGGCTTGGCAGACTCAAGGAAAAACAGATGCAATAAACTGTTCTGCAGGATAAATGTGAGAGAAGAAAAACAAGATGAAATATTAAAGAATAGTACACTTTCTCAGAGAGAACTATAAAGTAACTTTTAGTACTTAGACAGTCTCATTTGAACCAAAAATGTTGCCTTATGTACCCACCTTCTATAAAACTTCCACAAAGAGTGTTCGTATTGACAATTCTTTAGAAAACAAACAAACAAACAAACAAACAAACAAACAAACAATCCCAGCAAAAGCCCAGCCCATTATCAATTCTAGTATGATGTCAAAGAAAAGAAATTCAAAGAAATCATATCTGGATATACAGTGGATAACAAATTGTTCCTGTTGGATCATCTGCTGGTAACCTTACTCGGTGGTCTGAAACAATAATTCTAAGTCATCTTTTAACAATTTGACAGTGTACCACAAAAAGGTTTACATTTAGTACGCTCCTGCTGCTAATAAATAACAGTTACATGCTGGTAAATGAACCATTTACTGTAACTCAAGAAGGGTTTTTTGAAAAGTAGATCAGGTTTTAACAACTTAACAGTCGAACATGTTAGAAAACACTTGTGATAGCCATTTATCTTCACCTCTCAATAATCTCATTGCAAATCTACCAGCTCTGCTATCTAAATATGGGTTCTTAGTTAGCATTTGTGTGAACAATTTATGTGATAACACAGAATTGGAAACAACAAATCATTGTTTGCACTGATTGTGATAAAATCCGTTTTGCATTTGTGTTGGAAAAGGTTTTAATCTGCACACAACAAGGAGCTCAATATATATTTTCCCCCAACATTTTCTAATATCTGACTTAAATACTGAAATATTGTGATATATAGTGAATATTACCATTTCTTTTGGTCTACTACTGCATGTTAATATCTTCCAGAGCCCAATACCTGGATCTGATGATTAAAATGGCACACACTGAACATTGTTCTGCTTCACAAAATGGGATTAGAGAATATGCACAAGCGACAGACCAGAACATCCCAAAACATAGTGTCAAACAGGGATTCAAGCAAAATCACCATCAGCTAAACCACAGGATCAAAGAAAGGATGAAAGCACATTTGATTAAAAACAGAATGAAGAAAAGGATTTATAAAGGCGGATGGCGACACTGGTAAACAAAGACAGCAATTTCCTCTCTCATTATAATATTCTGGATTGAACAAGTGGGAAAACAACACAGCATCATATCATGATTTCAATACAACAAAAGGTCTTCTTAGGGTTGTGGTTTACTTTTGACAGCAGGAGCAAATATGCTGGGAAAACAACAAAAAACAGTCTTTTTAGCTCTATTCACAGCCAGCAGTTACACGTGTGTTCACAAAGCCAGTGGTGCGTTCAAGGTCCTGCACCAGAAGTCAATTCATGATCAGTTCAAAGACTTGAGGAGTCTTTTACAGCATAAAAAAAATCCAAGCAAAGTCACTTCCTGAATTGAGGAATTGTTCCCTATTTTCATCTGGACATTTCAGGCCACACACATTTTCTGCAAATACACACAGCAACATCTAGTCCTCTTCTAACAAGGCACTAAGATTTCATTCAAGTTTATCATTCCATAAGTGCTTAATGCATTTTAAACCCCCCTCTCACACTCACACACTCACACACACACACACACATTAGTCTCAATCCCAGCGCTACCTTGGCGAGGCTATCCTGGATAATTTCCCCTTTTGGTCTCTACTCCCGCTCACACTGTACTCTAAAGTGATGTGTCAGCATGGCGGCCAGCCAATCAGGCAGCCCTGCTGAGAATCAGCTGGCCTGTCAGTCACACGGCCAGCCATCCGGGCGCGCAGGGGTCTATTTGTGGTGCTGCCTGCTGCTCCGCACCTTGACGAGACCCCTTGCTTGGCCGTCTGTGACCGGGTTGCTTTAGTGACTGAGTGGAAAGCGGCAAATAGCGCACAGAAAGCAAAGGAGAAACTCAAAGAGGTGTGACAGCTACTCCCACTCCCACTGTCACCACAATAATGACAAAGAAGCTCTCGTGGTGCAGTCAGACAGAAGTTTGGCTTGGGAAAACTTACAGTGCATATTATAATTATTATTATAATAATTGCATATTGTTTTCTCCATTTGCTTTTGGTACAGCCCCAACAAAGTACACACTGTTGAATGTAGCAGGCAAATGAGCCCCAAACTTTAAACATCTTGCTGTGTGCGTAGTGCCAAAAAAGCACACTTGCTTGTATACTGCAAATCCTATGAGATGTAGTATGAATAATGACGAGGAGTCGTAGTAGCATGGGTGATGCGAAGTAGCACGGCTATTTAGCTAACAAACCGCAGTAACCACGCAACCTTAAAACTAAATTCTGAGCAAATACCTCCTGATTTAGTGGTCACTGCTTTGAGGAGCTTTTCTCAAAGCATTCTCAAATAAAGGGACCCACTCCAGGGTGAGATCTCACAGGAAGCACTTGTTGGAGCCTTGTTGCAGTGCGATGACCTTACCTTGGATCTTCTGTTTGCCATTGTCGCTTTTATCTCTGCGTAGGCCTCAGACAGCCTGCATTCTTATTGGCTATTTTAAGAGATGCAGGACCTCTATGAAGAAAGCAAAATCTAGTCTGACTGCACCATTACCCAGCAGGAGTCAGCCTGCACATACCCTGGCATCGGATAGCGCTCGCGTCTGAGGAATATAAGAAGAACGTGGCACAGTGACAAATCTGTGAAGGACTAATCAATAAATACAGACAGGAAAGCAGAGAATAAGGAACAAATAAGTGAGGCACGTGCAAAAGGTCTTATCTCCTTGGACCGTCTTTGTCAACTTTCACCCACTACATTCAATGCAGCTCTGCCCGCAGACCAGGAGTTACACACATGAGGGGAAGGATGAGGGAGGGAACAGAAGGTTGTAAAGGAGAATCACTTCACCAGGTGATTTTAAGAGTGGTTCTGCCTGGCTTCACCCAGGTGTCAGTACGACTTTGGCTCAGCAAGAGCCCCTCCCCCCCTTCATCTACCCCCAGGGAGGTTGTCAGAGCTGGAGAGACATAAGGATATTTGAGAGGGAGAATGAAAAAGGTGGGCAAAGGTGCAGTCATGCAGGCAGATAGAGACGGACATGCAGGCAGTGGCAGACCGGGAGAGAAACGAGGGAGGAGAGATTGGAGGATAAAAGGTAGATGGACAGAAAGAGAGGGAGAGAGAACTGCAAACAACAAACCCCCAGAGAGGAAACAGTACAGGGGAAGAGAGGGAGATTTGAAACGGGCAAAAGAAATAAAGAGGAATGGCAGACGATAAAAAAATTAAATAAAAATCAGGAAGTGAGACAGACCTACTGCCACAGCAGCACCCCAACAGAACACACCCATCTCTCACAGAGTAACTTTTACACAAATCCCATCAATCAAACTCAAACCCAATCTTCCCTCACACTAATGCGTTTAACTAACCCCTCTGCGTCCCGTCCTGCCTCACTCCCAGCACCCCAAAGAGAAACAGCTGTCACCTCATTGCGAGGTAAATGGGAAATACCCCAGTTCGCAATAGCAGCAGCAGCAGCTCCACTTCTGCGTGAGTCCTTCCTCGTGGATGCTGCAGGACTTCACTTGGCGCCCTGATTGAAGTGCTCCAGCACGGTGGCGTTGGTTTTCTCAAATAGCCACTGCTGAGTGGGCGAGGACGGGTCACACGTGTTCATGAAGACACGCCGCTCGTTCAAGCTGCTGTCGATACAGCTGTTGCTGACGGGGTGATACAGACTCTTATCCTGGAGGGAGAAACAAGGGAGATGACGGGCTGCGTCAAAGAGAAACTCTTTGGAAGCTCATTTAAAACACGGACAGTGTTTGAAACAATGACTCCCTGACAGCTATTGCTCTAAATGCTCCACATTTTCATGTCTCGTCTGTTTTATGTCAGCGAGAGGGGATATCTCGACTGTTCAAACCTTCTGTTTGTGAGGGACGGCCAATGAGAATAATCTTGGGTTAAGGGTGGAGGACAGGAACTATAATGGCTTGTTTGTGGTGGAGGATAAAGACTGCACTAAAACTCAGCTCAGGTTAAACAGTGACTCATGCAAAGATATTCTAATAGAATCAAATAATGAATATACAGAGCTGGGAATGGGTATAACAGGTCCACTTTAAACCAATGTTTGCAAGTAACGCTTTCAACTTGTGTTGTTTACTGCTGCCAGCATGTTTCTTTGTGGCTACATTAAATCCCACAATGGTTACAAAAATAGAAACGTGGCCCTTTGTAATAGCCGAGCATAAAAGCACAACAACATAATGAGCCCCGTAGATTCGGTTAAAAAGTGCAAAGCTTTGGGAACTGATTAAGCATTCTTGAAGTCATTCATTCTGAAGCAATTACATTTGCAATTTTGCTGTTTTGTACTGTAAGAGGAAAACAAAAAGGCTCAGAGAAAGAGCTCACCACACAAACATTACACATAACCACGCCGAAGGCGCCGACTCTGATCTCCGCTTCATCTCTGTCATACCTTTCTGTAGCGCCACAGCTGGTTGCCTTTCATGCCGTGGCAGTCGTACAGGGTGACGGGGCTGTTGTGGGAAATGGCATCGAAGCAAACTTTTTTCGTGTGCATGGGGTCGCCCACCCGAATGTCCTCTCTCCAGCCAAACGTAAACACCTGCAGGAGATATAACGTAATGATTCTTTCCTTTTTTGAAGTGCGATGATCTTTACGCGACATGAAAAATTCTCAGCACAGGGTGAAGGGACTTGCAGGGGACTTGAAATGAATCGTTTGTTTTGTAGGTCAGAACTTTTGAAAAGAGCGATACAGGGTTAAAATATCAATGTGGGAGAAATCGTTTTTATAACCTACTGTAAGAAACTTTCACTTTCCTATTAAGCTGCTTTTGCTCCTTTGTGCTGTTTTGCTTCTGTAGAGTTCAGAATTGAATTTTATAAAAATCTAAAAGTTTATCATAGTTGTGGCCTTTGATTATTGATGGGAACTTCTGACCTGTTTTATACAGGAGGAGACTTGAACACCTCGGTTTCTGGAGTTTTCTGTATGAAACCTCTCTCCTGGTTACTCTGGCTTCCTCCCAAAACCCAACAACATGCACGTTAGGTTAATTTGTGATTCTCTGATTGGCTGTAGGTGTGAAGTGCTAAAAGCGATGTATGGGTGAAATTGGCTTGCAGTGCAAAGTGCTCTGAATGGTCAGTAAGAGAAGAAAAGTGTGATACAAATGCCAGCCTGTGTCCATTCAGTGTGAATCAGACTTTCAGGGAGCAATCTAAAAATAGCAGCCGTACTGGAAGCAGTGCAGCACTGACAGGAGAGTTCACTACACTTTAGTCACCATTTTTCCCCCATATCCAGTGAGGGTAACACATCTGACTGATGACCGAAAGGTAGCTGGTTCAATTCCAGCCGGAGACACAAATGTCAGGAAACGCATCTGGTGTAAGACGCTGCCAAATCCAACACGTGGAGTTACCTGCTGTGGTGCCCGTTTGTGAAAAGGGAGCAGCTTTTAAATAGGCAGATTTTTTCAACTCGCACTGCATTTTGTATATATATATATATTTACTAACCAAATGAAAGAGTTATGTACACAGCAGATATTTTTTTTTAACCGTTTACTGAAAATGTTTATCCTTTGTCCTCATGTCAACCAGCCCATAAACATGTCTGCATGCAGAAAAATGTCCTAATATAATACACTACACTGGGTGCATTTTAGTGCATGTGGTCTGAAAGAAGACCACAGTTTTGTAAAAGAAGAGTCAGGTTCAGTCTATGATCACAATATAATCAAATCGCTACAAAACCCTCCTCTCTGGACTGCTGGTGTCATAGAAGGTGCTTAGCATGGTATCATGTTTTTGACAGATGAGCAATAGTGTACCTTTTGTTATTATGATTCCCCGTCATTCTTCACAGACGCAGACATATTACTAGATTTTGACAGACTGTTTCCATCTTTCTCTGCAAAGGTTATTTTAATGTGTGCAGCCTTTTCCTTTGTCTTTACTATAGTCACGTATATGTACAAAGGAAACACAGACCCAACTACGGGCTTTGTAACTCTCTAAGCAGTCAATCAAATCTTTTATTCAGAGCACACGTGAAAACAGGAAACAGAGGACGAGCTGCAGAAGTCTGAAGAGGAGAAACAGGTGGGGGGGGGAAAAGGAGGCTTAAAGAAAATTTAGTTCAGAACAATGAAGAAAAGGGGAAACCCCAACTAAACCTGTTCATTATTTTAAATTAAACACTATTTGAAGACAAGCTCTTATTATTTTTAAGGAGAAGCCTTATTTTACTTGAAATGAGAACAACACTAGCCTTTAGGTCATTGGGAAAATTAGTAATAATTTTTAAAATACTGCTGAATTTTACTGTGTTTTATTTGATAGCCGACAATCATTTCTGTTCATTCTGTACACAAATGAGTGTCGCAGTAATTTCACGAACAGATACATCCTGAAGTTTGCTGACGACACAGTGATCGTCAGTCTTCTAGTGGGGGACGAGTCAGGCCATGGACAGGTTGTAGATGATTTTGTGAATTGGTGTGATGAGTCCTTCTTTTCACTTAATGTGTCTAAAACTAAACTAAAGGAGGGGAAAAAACTATGATTATTGATTTTAGGAAGTCCTCTGATAGCTCATCACATATTATCATTAAAGCTGGGATAGTTGAGAGTTATAAATATCTAGGTGTGGTACTTGACCATAAACTGTGTTTTCAATCTCATACTGATGCCACTACTAAAAAAGTTCAACAAAGACTTTTCTTTTTAAGGAAAATGAGATCTTTTAATGTCTCATCTCAGATGTTGTCCTTGTTTTATAGAAGTTTTATCGAATCTGTGATGTCCTTTTGTATCGCTGCCTGGTTCGGTAACCTGACGGTGAAGAATAAGAATCGGTTGGGACTTCTCGTAAAAACTGCTTTATTTTTGATTCAATAATTTTGTATTTATCTTATATCTATGAATACAGAGTATATCCATGATTACATACAGTTTTTATTCATGGTTCTAAACCTAAAAAATAAAGACCAACGTGTGCTGTATCAATTGTTCTTTTTCTTGACCCTTATTTCGTTTACTGTGACAGTGATGGATTAACGCAGCTTCTTATGATCCTTATCCATTTGTCTACATGTCGATGAGTTCATCAGAATGATTGATATCATAATCTGCTGATATCAAAGCGGCCTTAGCCGTGAAATCAACGATTATGATAAATCTTGATATGTACAATGAATTGAAACGTCTCAGCTAACAACTCATATTAGATTTTTGCATTTAGTTTCATTAAAACCAGCAAATGACTCATTTTGATTTGGTAAATGTAGAAGTATTTCTGGATTCCAGACATATCCAGACCAAAAAAAAAAAAAAAAAAAGTCTAATTCGCTCTTACTTAAAACCAAACATACAAAATTAAACTTTTAATCGCCATCTGTGTCCAGGTGACTGTCGCCCCTCTGGCCCCCAAACACTGTCTGAATGATTTGCTCCACTCCTCCTGTACAGGATCGAAAAGCCCCGACAAGGACAGCTGCCAGAGAGGCCACCTGTGAGCTGCAGCGAATGCATTTCGTGCTGGCTCTGAATACAGATTGAGACTGTGACACAAATTAAACTACAATGCATCTTCAGATTAAAGCAATTAAACTGTCAGAGCTCTGAGGCGCAGTATTTTGGCTGTGGAAACAAAAGGGGACATTCAATCCATTAAGTTTGTATTATGAGCTGTGCTTTAAGATCTACGCTGTGACGTGTGAGTGCAGAGTCCTTTTAGAACAATGCAGAGATAATGAAGAAGCTTTTCCATCTATGCGGGCACTATTTTTTTTGACATTTATGTCTCGTTAGCTGACAAAATCCAATTACTTAAGCGATTTCATAAATGTGCCCTTAGGAAAAACCTAAAATCGCTCAACTTTGTAGTTGAAAGGCACATTTGTGGACCACCAGACTACGCTTTCCTTTAGATTTCTTTTTAAACCTACATTGTGGAGTATAGGTGATCGCTATAATGCTTATTACATCCTGGACAGCCTGATGACACAGCAAGAAAATAGCCGTTATAATAAATCACTCCTACCTGTACACCTGCCACCTTCAGCAATGTAAGGACTGGCCCACACACACTATCGAAGCTAACAGAAAACTCCCAATGCAGGGAATGCTGGGAAATCTGACCACAGTATAATGAATCTTCTGAGTAAGTACGGGGCGGCGAGTGAAACACATCACTGACAAAATGACAAAATTAAAGAGCAGCTTCTTTTAATAAAGCGTGCCAGGATCCTGATGAAATCAAGGGTGCAATTACATCAACTATTAAAATTATATGGGGAAAATTAAACTATTAAAAACTTCTAAAATAACGACTTTTGGCCCGGGTATCAAAAGAAGATCAAAGTATGGTTTCTGCATGCCTAATGTTGAATTAATGTATGAAAAAGGAGGCAGTTAAAAGTTTCAAAAACAGGCTTTAAAAATAAAAAGGGAACTGTGTGTGCAAGGGTTTCAAATATTTAAGGGCAGGTCCACAAGACAAAAAGTAAAATAAAGTAGAACTCAAGTCTTTGATGAAAACAAAACAAAACAAAAAAACCTGAACAAAAACACGAAAAAATCCCATTATGATGGATGAACCAAAACTCCCATGGAAATAGAAAAATATAAAGAAAAACAACAAAAAACAAAAAGGCTGTTTCTGTTGCAAAATCCTTGGAATCATAACATCCTCTGGGACTCACGGATTGGCAAAACCTGCAGTTTCTCCACCGGCCACTTGGGCTTGTCTTTAAAAAGTCAAACCATGTTGACGCCTATAAATCTGTACGCAAAGGCCACATTTTTTGAGCTTTGTACTGCAAGTTCAGCTTGGTCAGTAGAAAGATCTGACAACATGGCAGACACACTCCAGGTTACCAACGCGAGCAGCACAGGCAGCGATGATGCTGTGCCGAGTTTGCCTAATACAGTTATGCTGTAGCTTACGCTTCCCCTCAGGATATGTCTGGATTCTATTTTGAGATTTTAATTTAATGAAGATGCACATTTTGTTATGATCTGGACAATGTCAGCGCATTAATTCTCTGGATTTGCAGGTTTTCTTTATTGCCGCCTACAGTGATTGTATCAATGGGACCGTGTTAGGCGTGCTCACTGTGAGCACACAGGTTGACTTCTTTCTCACCACTCTCCCTGTATACAGAAGAACTTGGGTTAAATGAGTAATAATTAGACGTTAAAGGTGAACTAATAACATGACCTTAATCAGGCTCCATTCAAGCTACACTGATTAATAACTGACTTCAGTGACTTTTTCGTACCTGTCCATGTCTCCAGCTCACATCGCCTTGTCCCTTCACACAACTCTCCAGGCGGATAGGACTCCCCGACACAAAATGTTTACTCTCCATACACATGCTGCTACCCACGTTACGGATCTTCATCAAAAAACACATAAGAGCAGAGTCACATAAGCATGAAAGACGGCAGAAAGACATCATTCACGCAATAAGAGTTGTACATCTTCAACAGAGATCAGAGGTTTTCTTAACTACCAAAATCACAAAGAATATAATGCAAAAAAAAAAAAATCATCAGGCAGCTTCAAGTAGTATTATACCATTAGTTTGGGTTATTTCAGGAGGCAAGAACACTGCAATTAAGCTCTAATTAAATTCATGCACTGAGTGTAACCGGTCCACCGCTCCAGACAGCAGTCTGGTATGACAGACAGATAGGAATATTAGAGCCAAATGCAGAGAATTTCTGACAGCTTCTTGAGTTATTTTAGAGGAAACCGCTGGTAATTACTCTTATCTTTTGGCCTGCCATACCAAAGGAGAAAAGGAAGAATTTGCTTAAGACACCAGTAACAAGACCAACTATCTTTAGACTGAACCTCTGGCACACAAAGTGGCATTTTAAAACTAAACTACATGAAGCTGAGAAAAAAATAGCTTCACATTACATATTCAAAGTACTCACTGTCATGACTTTCTAACACACATTTCTTGGTAGCTCTAGTTCCATCTTTCAATTAGGCTGCCTTTAATTAGAGGATAAGAGCAACTGTACCTCTCCCCATGCAGCAGCAGGAGGCTCCACAGGTGGGTAGTGCTTGGGCAGATCCCAGGCCACCTCACTCATGAACCACTTGAAGTTCTTGCAGTTGAGCCGGTTCCTCAGCTCCTTCTGCACAGTCATGTCTCCTGCCGACAGGTGGCGGTACTCAGGCCTGCGCTGGTAGATGTACTCGGCGTACTCGTCCATCCACACTTCTGCTACTCGCTTCAGGTTCTGAGATCAGAATGGTTTCTCAGTTAACTCTACAGTTACAGACCACATTTCACACTGTTAACTATCAGAACAACAGACATCAAGTTCTCACACCAATCAAATAAATGACTATATTTATAAAAATGTTGTTGGTTCATTTATTGGCAAAAGCCGAGGCTCACAGAATAACTTTGCTACCATCAGGTTACTTCTTTGTATATGCAGCAAATTCTTCTTTCAAATTCTGCTTCTTACACAACTACATGATCAAGTTCTGCACGAACTGGACCAACAAATACCCCAATTTGCTAAGCTGTCGCAAACTGACTGACAGCAGTGATTTGTGTATGTAGTGCCTGAATTGGCTCATCAGACAGCAGCCTCTTTGGTTGACAATCAAGTAATGCAGGAAATGCAGTTAAAAGTTAAAAAAAAAAAAAAAAAATTATATATATATCTATATATCTCTCTCTCTCTCTCTCTCTCTCTCTATATATATATATATCTCTATCTATCTATATATCTATCTATATATCTATATATATCACCTTTCAAGAAAAGAAAAATCATAAAGTGCTTCACAGAAGCTAAAACATAAAAACAAAAATCAACCACAAGCAAGTTTAAAAAGATACGTTTTTAGCTGTTTTTAAAAGAGACCACCGAGTCCACATATCTCAGGCTCAAAGGGAGAGAGTTCCACAGTCTAGGGGCCACAGTTACAAAAGCTCTGTTGCCTTTCGTTTTCAGCCTCGTGTGTTGGGCAACCAGCAAGCCCTAATCACATGACCTCAGGGACCTGCTGGGAATGTATGGATGTAAAGGTTCCCTGATATATGTTGGTGCTTGTCCACGCAGAGCCTCGAATGTCAAGGTCAAAACCTTCAAGTGGATTCTGAATTTATTAGGGAGCCAGTGCAGCTGAATCAGCAGGGGTGTGACATGGGAGTACTTGGAGGACTTGGTCAGAAGCTTTGCAGCAGCATTCTGAACAACTTGGAGATGCTCCAACGAGGCTTTATATAAACAAGCAAACAAAGAATTACAATAATCCAGACGAGATGAAACAAATGCATGAATGACAATTTCTAATTCGGAGTGCGATACAATGGGTCTCAGCTTAGCAATGTTTCTCAAGTGATGAAAACAGGACCGGACCAGGGATTTAACATGAGCGTCCAAACCATAGGCAAGAAAAGTAGAAGAAAAACTGTACTCAGAGGTAGCCACAGAAAAGGATCGTTCATGCAAATAAGATTCAAACCACTCCAAAGCAGACCCTGATATACCCAGCCAGTGTCTCAGCCTATCTAGCAGAACATGATGGTCCACAGAATCAAAGGCGGAGGTCCAACATCAACAAAATAGAGCATTCTCCTGCATCACATCTCATCAAAATGTTGTGGGAGACTCTAAGAAGTGCAGTTTCAGTAGAGTGAGCCCTACGAAAGCCAGAGTGGAAGTTGTCCAGAATGCTGTTCTTCAAATGGATACTTGAATTTGACTTCAAAGACGCCCAGGTTAACTCTACAACAACTTTCAGGTAGAGAAAGTTGTTTTTGTCTTTAAAGCCTTTATAGCCAATATTTCCTCTTTTTTTTCTTAATAACGTGGCTGTTTCAGTGTATTACAATTTGGGCTATTGGCTGCAACAAGTGTCCACATGCACATTACATTCCTTTGTGGCTACTAGTTGGTTACTAATGGATATTCCAGGCTTTTTTGTGCAGGCAACCCTCTAATATATTTACCATCTTACCATATGTAAATCAATAATATATTTTGCTCCATAAAAGAGCCATGAAAGATTTCACAAAAGCTGCTCGTAGGTGAAGAAATCTGATGAATTTTCTTTATGATAAATGCATTGATAAAAAGTCATGAAATATGTTAGAAATTTAAATATTTGTGAAATTTCAGTTTTTCAAAGTCATCTAATGAGAAACTGGACCAATTGTACTTGCGTCTATTCCCTAACCAACCACCAGTTTGATCATCAAAGTGGTGAAATTCCCTTTAGATTAATTCCAGACTCGTAATCTGCAGAACAGCTATCTGAGATTCTGTGTTAGTTTTGTCACGCCGTGCAGCACATTTAATATTCTCCCCTATGCCTTTTTTTTTCTGCTTTTGCTGTCTGAAAATATTTGTAATAAATATATAAATAAATAAAATCTGCTTTAAAGTCTTACAGTTAGCTGGCCTGTTAGCTAAATTCCTGCCTTTCTGGGCATCGTGTCTTCACTGCAACAAACAAAGCCATCATTTGTACATCCTGCCACCCTTGAAGTTTTGATTGATTTGACATGACAAAATGATCAAAGCCGCTCAGTAGAAAGGAGGCCAGTCATCATACAGGACCTGTCATCGTGCCCCGGGAGGCGAGAGATGAAAAAAGTACCTTGTCTCTAGTCACGAAAGCAAATATAACACTGAACTGAATTATGTGCTAATTTACAAGGTGCCTTTATAAAGGATGAAAAACTGTCTGTTTCTTTTCTTTTTTTTCTATATACTTGGTGTTGGGAAGCTGTTACGCCTAATTAGGTCTCTAATGACATTACACATGGATCTGAAACATTCTTTGTAGCTTTATGAAATAAGAAAATCTGAAATCAGCTGTGAGACTGGCTTGGCTTTAACAGAAGAAAAGGAGCAATATGCATAATGTGAGTTGATGTTGTGAATCCACACTTAAGTATTACTGCTTTGTCAATTCAACTTGTTTTTATTTTATATTTATATACTGATGACATTATTCACTAAAGATTGAAAAGATGAATTATCAGGAAAGAAAAACCCAAATGCCAACTGCATTCATTCTTCCTCTTTACTCAGAGGGGGGGCATCTTCTTTTGATGCACTCCAGTGGCTCCACCTTTTCTCCTCTCCTAAAGAAACCCAAAGGTCAAAGTCACCACTCCAACCAGATTTAAGGGCTAATATGCCTTGGGAATAACCATTTCGATAACCCCAACCTTAAGGTGAAATTCTTAGAAAAAGTGGTAATTTTAAGACTTTTCTTGGTATTTCATCACTAAGAGCTACTCTTAGTGCAAGGAAGTCCTGGAGAATAAAAAATAAGGATTACGAAACAAGAAGCCCTTCTGAAAAAGTGAAACACGTAAAGGTCTGATTTAATGTCTTTTTACAAGATCACATCCTGAAAAAATAATTGCTAAAATCATGAGGAAAAACAATTTTTTTTTTTTTAAACCCATCAGATACTGATAGAAAACCAAGAAGGAAAAAAAAAAATAGAATATGGACTTACTGCGAGCTACATAAACAAAACAAATAAACAGAATATATCCATGTAGGTTGTTTGGGCAAACAAGATGCTTCTTTAGTTTTTATAAGCCGACAGAGTTCCAGATATTTAACTGCTAGCGGAGTTGTGTTGGTTGCTTCATGTGGTGCTGGTAATATCATTGCACAACCACATCCATTACGTTATTCGCCTGAACGATAGGTGCACGGCACGATTGTGCACGGCACGATTGTGCACGGCACGATTGTGCACTCGGCAAACGCACCGTTGGCACAACCTGCCAGGTTAAAAAAATCAAGATGTGCACGACCCGTTGAAAACAGCTAACGACAGTAGCTGTGTCGTCAATTTCATGTCAAATTTGTCATATGGTGCTGGTTGCAAGGCACTGAGATTTCCTGACCTACCATATCTTAAGATGTTGGTCATTATGTGAATCATTTGAGAGACACTGTAGAATCTACACATGTCAAGATGCGAGTAGAGCTCGAATCACCCGAGAAGACTTCCAGGACTTCTCGGTACAACATTGAACACTCGGATCCTCAAAAGAGTTTCCCTCCTCTGTGTAGGTGGAGTAAGTGCAGCCAACGCAACAGGACAATAGAAGTCTTGAGAATCTGAGAGAGTAGTAAAGGACTCCATCAATGTCCACTGTGAACCGTCGCTCAACAGAGATTGTTATAAGATCTAATGAGAGCAACTTAAAATGAACAAGAACACCCAAATGTAAGACATCAGCTACAAAGAATGCATTATTTATTGTACATTTAGGCCACTAAATTATACATGTAGTGACATAAGCTCACAGAAAAAGCCCCACCCTTTTGTCTCATTATAAGAGCATTAATATTCATGACTAAGAGGCATAAAACAGGTGAGGAGGAGAGAAATCCGATGCAAAATGAGCGACAGTAATGGCAGCACAGACAACATCTGACACAGGTTCTTTAAGCCTGCTTTGAGTTGCAAACATAAAAGCCTGAGCAATGCGAAATCCATCCATCTGAAGCCTTTGAGGCGTCAGCCTCTCGGGTGCGCACGCATGCCTGGGAGTATAGATGGTAGCAGCCTTGGAGGCAGGGATGGTGAAAGGAATGAGAATACAAGTTCAGCAATCCTCCCAGGAAGGAATAAATACAAATCCTCCAACCCTCGGAGGTACAGATGTAGTGAAGAAAAGCTTCCAGCCACACACACACACAGGCACACATAAAATCCCTGTAGCAAAGCTCATCGCCTGCAGCAAAACTCAAGCTCTGTGCTCCCTAGGTGAAGTGCAGTTCAGTGGTTCTATCTTCCTGTGTGCCGACTGGACTTAGAGGGGGCTGAGATTCCCTGATGTGCACACACATACGTGCACACAAAACTCTATAAATATGTCTGGAGATCCTTTGTTCTCTTTATCTGTACCTGCTGAAATGCTTCTCTCACCATGATACTTAAAAGAAAATCAACATAAATGAAAAAAAAAAAGTCTTGAAGGTTTAATTCTTTCCTGAGGCAAAAGATTTTTAGAGCACGGGAGAAGTGTCTCTTAGTGAGCCATGACTAAATCCTTACACAAACCAAAGTCTTTATTGAGTCCTGTTAAGGGAATTCTTCAGTCCGTTAGTTCTGCATGTCTAGATATACATTCTGGATTTTGTGCAGCAGATCTCTACTATTAAAACTGAAACAGTTAAGGCACTCTGATGGACTGGTGACTGCTCCAGGGTGTATCCGCCTCGCACACTATGGGAGCTGGGACAGACTCTGGCCTCCCTGCAACCCTAAGTTTGATAAAAGTGGCGGGGGGGGGAAGGGTGGATGTTTAGAATGATAAGCTTTTTACTGGGAAAACTCTTTTTACTCAGTTGGGGTTGGTTCAGTTGCTTTGAAGTGAGAGCCACAAACAGTGTGTCATCAACAGCAGGTGGTGTCAAGCTGCCAAGCAGACGGGAGCATTGACCGGCACCGGAACTAAAGTCATGGACTGTTGACGACACAGTCAGTAACAAAATGGATTTTAGCCACCTAAGGGAAATCAATAGTGGTTTAAGTTTATGCCCTATTTACCCACAAAGCCAGAGCACATCATCAGATTGACAACCCCGCCCCCCCCAGCAATTTTACCACACAAAATCTTAAACTTTTTCCACCTCCTGCTGTTTTGATTGGTTATTTTATATTATGGTGTCACATTGTGACATTTAACATTTTGGGGTTATGAATTGTTAGCCGTCTGCTGTCTTCCTGCATGTTGCAGGAGAACTTTAGGCTTCAGTGAGCAGAGGGATAGAGGGGTGGATTTGCACAAGTCGAATGTTTGTGAAATAGTTTTTTTTTTTTTTAACGGGTTGTACGGAAGCCCCAAACGCAATTTCATTGTTCTTTGACAATGACAATAAATAAATACTTGACTTGACTCTAATCCAGCGCTATCAAACTCATTTTACATGGTGGGGTACATAAAGTCCAAATATGATCTTAAATAAGAAATGTCTGTTAGTAAGACGACAGTGAAACTGCCAAAAACACAGCTAAAAATGCAAATTTATGCCCTCCTTGGCAGTTTTCACACTTTACAAAGTCATGCAATGGGCTGTTTGATTACGTGATTATGTTTGCTGTGTTTGACACCCCTGCACCAATCTATTGATTTGTGTTCCTCACACAACATTATACTTGTGCTGCTAAATGAAATTTTCCATCATTTTGCTGATCATACTAGAGCTCGAGTTGACTTGATTTATTTTGATATGATACAGTATATAGAAATAAATATCTAGCTCCATCTCTCTGAATGTTTTGTTGGAGGATATATTTGAAGTTATGTTTTCCAAAACAACTGACACATTCTCATAAATTTAGAACTTCTAAATTTTTCTTCATAAATTTAGAACTAATCCATTATAAAATATACAGAAGCAGTTCTTTGTAGTTGTTGTTGTTTTTTTTCCCCAGTCCCTACTGAAGAGTCTGGACAACACAAATGATCCAAAATACACTCAGTGATTGTTACTGTCATTTGGAGGGGGTCATGTCCGTGGAAGTGAACATGTACATATATAGTAATGAGACTTGGGCACTCTCAAATTTGCCAGCCATGTACAGTAAGTATTTACTTATATAAGGCTGTTATTCAGTGTCTACTAAACACTGGTCAGTGTTTTTCACACCAATGTTTAAAAAAAGAAAAATCACAAATAAAAAGTAAACAAAACAAAACAAAAAATAACAGCTTAAGAGCACTTTGTAAATTGTGCTAACCAACCTTATGCTTTTAGAGCTGAACTGATAACTAAGGTCCACAAAACAGAGGTAAATCTTAAAGTGCTGTTTGTGTGTGACAGCGCTTTGTGTCATTATCATGTAAGTCATTTTAAAAATGACTTACATGATAATGACATGTGGAGAAAAAAATATATATTTTTTTTGTAAATGAAAAAATTTACAAAAAAAAATATACTAAAAAACAAAACAAGAAAATGCCAATCTTTTCTCCCCCCAAGCTGACATACAAAAAAAAGCTCTGTAGAACACACACACACACACACACACACACACACACACACACACACACACACACACACACACACACACCTTTTCCTAACATTTTTTTCGTCAGATCTTCTATCAGGAGTGTTTGAAAACAGATATACATGAAGAGCCATACAAGCTAAACATGAAGATTTTTGGTTATATTATTTACATTTTTACAATAAGCCATGGCCAAAATAAAATATACCAGCTAATACCAAAATTAAAAATTAAAATGAAATACAACAGTTGGTCAGTGACTTCAGCCATCACTGTATGGTACAAAAAGAGCCTTTGGTGTTCAGAGTTATCTTGACCTAAGATCACGCTAATTCATCTAGTCTAATGGGGCAAGTCAGTAGTAAATAAAAACCTGTATTATTATTTGATTCTTTGTAAACTAGTAGAGAAATCAACAAAAACCAGATTCATAACAGCCCCAGGTACAGTCAATACTTTTATACTGTTAAAACCAGCCTGTTTGTTTGCTATCAGTATTCAATACAGCCTCACTGTGGGGCTAATGGTCAGACCAAGAAGGCAAAAACCGAGGCCAAAGGGATTAATTACATATTCATCTGAGCCAAACAGAGCCAGGTGTCAGAATGAGGCTGAGTCATGCATAATGAATAATGTTCAGCTACAGGCCAGAAAGCCATTTTTAACACTTCTCATACTGTTTCACAGTGTTAAAGCTGCCATGGAATAAAGAAAGGGGAGCTAATTATGAGAAAATTCTAAGTTGTATGCTGTGTGTGTAGGTGACAACTTTTAGAAATGCAAAGTAAAGGAAACAAAAGCTGCTAAAAGCCTGCATCACACTCACAGCGGCTTGCAATTCATTGGTCTTTTCATGTAATGCTAGCCTTCAGTATTGAGTAGATGGTAGATTTTGGATAGTAATCGGGTTTTTACGCCCAGTCACAGATAGGAGTTGTTAATGCTAATGCTTCTGCAACCTCCCAGGAAGGGTTGAGCGATGTGTTAAAAGTATCCAACTGCCACCATCAGTGCAGTAATCACAGGCTGCTGATGTTTGTGTGTGCATGGCAACGATCATTCCCCCATTTCACTGAGAGACTTAAATGAAGAACTTTGAGATGATGGAGTTAAATGAAGAAACAGGTGGAGGTCATGCATGTCAACCGAGTTCGAAAGCAGGGTTTGTGAAATAGCTGCAACTTTTAATACATTCATGCACAAAAACACAAATCAGTGTAACAGTTTTTATGCGATGGCCCAACATTTAATGTCCCTGATCACGATTTTTGTCTGTCTGTTGTTTACCGAGTTGTGTCCAAATACACATCAATATTGTGCGTAGACGGAGACGTGAAGAAATCCACTTTTGGAGGTTGGAAGGAGTTTAACACTCACACTAGAGACCAAAGTTGAAGTCATACACATTATAGATTTTCACACAACATCTGTAGAGCCCAACCAATGCAGCATTATTAAGACTGATACTGATATTTAGTTATTTAAACCTGATTCGGATTTTGTTTCCTTTCATATTAAAGAAACTAATGGATTTCCTTTGCATTTACTTTGTGTAGTTATTCATTACACTCTGCTCAGCACCACCTAGACTGACTGGTTATTATGTTTGTGGCGCTCCAAAGCGCATTGGCTTTTGTTGTTTGGACAGTAAAGAGAAGAAAGGGTTTTTGAGGTGAGAAATTCCTAACCGACACCTCTGCACAAGGCAAGACATTTCACCATGAGGTCACTGAACAAATACAAGGCACCAGAAATGGAAAACATCAAGCTTTCCCATAATGCTTAAGACAGATCTGAGACTTACCCTGGCAAGGCTGACACCACCAGGAACTTTGTAGGGGACATACTTCCTGTAGATGTGCCCAACCCTGGAGCAAGGAATGTCCTCCATCCGACCACCACACATCCACACCTACAAAGACAGAGAGAGAGACGGGGAGTCAGCAGTGATAAAGATCATATCTGAGAGTGAATTTGTGTAACTGAACAGCCTGGAATTGAGAGGGGCAGATGAGGTTAACATTTCCGAGATGAAACAAAAACTATGTGAGAAAGACACAATGTGGGAAGACACGACCAGGAAAAAGCAACTGAGAGTAGACAAGGTCAAAACATAAAAGGAAAAAAAAGGATAAATGGGAGAAGTAGGAGAGGGACCTTTAAACTGAAGAAGGGTAGGGACTGTATAGGGTACGCACAGGGGTGCAAGGTATGCTGACTTGGTCATGAAATCCTGGAGAGAGGAACAAAAGCAGCAGGTTCAAGTAGCACAAAGAGAGTTGAAAACTTCAAAGAACTACAGATATGGATCCTATTTTATAAAGGACTGCATAGGTGATAGAACTTTGAAAAAAGTTCATGTGTTTCTAGATTGCACAGAGACCAAAGAGAGGAAATTACACCGAAGAGAATGAGACAAGTCAATCATGCTTAGCTAAATGACAAAGACTCAAATTGGATTTGGTATGCTACTTAGCAAAAGCAGAGCTACCTTTCAAGTCTACAGGGTGTGAAAATCTAGTAATTTAAAACTAGAATTTAAGTGATTAGACACTTTAAATTAATGAGAAGACTTTGGGGTCAAAAGTTTGACTATATGAACTTTTGACCCCAGAGTTCGGGATTATCTTTTTTACATTACAAGCTTTGAATTTATTCTCTCAGTGTGCTGTTGATGTCAACCCGTTTTTTATTTAGCTGAATGATGCAGACGTGTAACAGTTGAAAGAAAAAGAAGCAATTAATTACCACCTAATTATCAGAGTTTTGGTATCAACCATAAAATGTAGTCTGATCTTAATCTAAGTCTCAATTATGCACAAACACAATCTGACTAACAGATAAACGTGTCGATAAAATATGCAAGAAAAATAACTAATAAAGATTCAGCTGAAACATTAACACAGTGTGCTGCACAATAACGATCAAACTAATATCCAATACAGATGTGTTTAGGCTACAACATGTTACTTAGAAATGTGTGCTGCTGACTTCTCCACAAGCTACTGGGAATTAGATGTTCCAGTTAAGGAGATCGGATGGGACATGTGGGTTGTAGAGGTGTTCTCGTCTATATATAGACATGCAAAAATCTGCTCTTCCAAACAAACTAGTGTAACTCATTTTCATAGCACCTTAGAAAACTAACATCAATACCAGTGAATGAAATACCAATAAATATTTGGCCCGTTTAGCCAGTTTAAGGCTTACATACTAGTTGATTATGAATATTATGGACAAAGCATTTCAGGAGATTAGGGAAGAAGATCAAAATCTGTCTAAAAGCCAGATTAAAATACATCTACTTTAAATCAGGATTTAAGATTTATGTAAGATTTTATTGAGTGTACTTTATATGAGATCTCCACCAAAACCTCCCGTGACCTTTACAGCACACTGTCCTCCATATCCGCATAAATCTTGCATTCCTCCTACTTCTGTCGTGACTTGAACCTCTGAAGCCTGAACATCTGATGATATAACAGTCATAATATGCTGTCTTTATACAATTTGAAATTCAGACACTTTAATCTAGAAAAGTCTTCCTTGCCTTCGGCTGAAGGTCAAGACATTTTCTGAAAGAAACCTCTCTGGTGATGAAGATAGAGGCTGTATTTAAGCTCAGGCATATAGTAACGAGAGCAAAATTATAATTTCCCACCTGAATGTTGTTATACTCTCATTCCCGTCCCGATTCTCCAGAGTGGACATCAGCTGGCTGCTATTTCAATTCAATTACTCCTTGTCAAGTTTGTTGCATCGCTCCGGCTTGGACAAACAGAATCGGGGGAAATAAGAGATTGAATCTACCCTCTCCACACTGTGCTGTAGGGGGGAAAGTCTGACCTGCTGCACTGGTGCCTTCCATCCCCTTTATCCCTGCACTGAAGCACTTGAGCTTAATAACAGGGGCGCCCCACCGCAGGAGGGATCAAGAGCTCGGGTTCAGTGGCAGTCAGATTAAATTAAAAGTCTTATCACTCACCTCTAACACCTCAACCTCTACAATCTGCTCGCCTCAAAACATGAACACCAGAAACCACAGCACGGCGGCCCAGAGCAGCTTTAAAAGCTGTGTCCTTTTAAAGTACCATCTTGTTTATATAGCTCCTTTCAAAAACAAATTATAGAATGCAATTACACTGGCATAATGCTGAAGGCCCCAACACCTCAATAATTTAATTCCATACACATAATCAATCTGATTATACCTGACTTTTGGCACTAACTTACATCTGAAAAGTCAAGTGAGGAATGGTTACCTTAATGAGAGAAAGGGAATCCTTCTTAATGTATTAAGAAAATATTTTGGCTCTGCACTCCAACTGCAGTGGTGCTACGGATCGATGTTTTTTAGGAAAAGATGCCAAGAAATCTAGCATACCAACAAAAAAGACCCGGGAAAAGAATGCAAACGAGTAAACATGGATGAAAGCAATGTAGCTCTTAAATTATTTTTAACAAATCAGCATTGCAAATGTCTCTTGAAGGGCTTTGATGTCTTTTCATTTAAAAGGACAAAGAGGGAAGGAAACGCTATAGCAACAACAGTATGATGGAAGAATGAGTCTCTTTTTTTAGTCCAAATAAAACTAATCTCACCCAAGAATCTCTCAATCTTCCTGTTACCAACTCAAAGCTTTAGTCACTAAATCCATTAACCTTTCATGCAGAGTTTGCTTGCCCAATTAAGCAAAAAATGAACGGTGCATTTATTTAAAGATGAATGGTGTCTGCTAGTAAAGCCTGATGCACAGAAAATGTGTGTGTGGTTCATAAAACTCCTTTCAAGCTTTCACAGCTGTCAGCCGGGCAGCAGTGTTCATCAGCCAGCAAATGGTTTAAAGTTGTGAGTTCATATATTTTTTCCTCCTACATTTGTTTTTAGATCACCTCTAAACTGAAAACTGAACCACAGCTCTTCATCTGCTGATCAGCAGCATCAAAACTTGCTGCTGATGTCAGAATTCAAATGAACTGTGTTTTTTTTTTAAATGAACCAAGGCACAACAGCCACACCTAGACCCATGTACAGAACTGGGAGGGCAACAACGACAAGAGTCAAGCTTGAAAAGAACAAAGAGGAACTGAGGTGAAAAGGATAACCGACGGCTAGGATAGCAGTCAGAAGAACGAAACAACAACAGCATTTTGTAAGAAACGTGGCAGTTATCTTGGCTGTAGCTACATGGTAGCATAGCTAGAATCAAACAAAGTCTTTATGATTTTGTTTGTTTAAAAACAGGTTTTGTAATACAACCATGTGATCCGACTGATTGCGGTTGTTACAAGCCTCTGACCGGTATCAAGAACAATGAGGCTGCAGTCTCCTGCATGCAGCGGCTCTAAAACATGGAGCGCTGTAATGTAATAGTAACAAAAGACTAAACCACTTTATCTTTAAAGGATTTTTATTTTTAACTAGTGCTGTCAACATTAATCTCGTTAACATGACGTTAATGCCATAACCGCATTAATGTGGCAAATCTCCGTTAGAGAGTTACTGCAGATCGCCCCGCGTGTGGGGCTGCACGGTGTCAACGCGTTAGCGCAGTTAGCTCATAAACGTCATTTTAATGAGATGACAGCACTATTTTTAACATTTGACCTTTCTTAGTGTTCATATGGATCAACCACTCCTAAGAGCAATCCTTTGCCTTATTGTTTAGCTTCTCCCTGTATATTATTATTGTGCTTTTGAATTTGCTCGTGCGTCATTTAGCTGGAGTATTTTTCTTGTCATTCCGTAGTGACGTCCAATAGATAAAAGGTAAGTGTTGAACTTGCATTTGATAGAATTTAACTGCAACTACAAATTTATAGTCAAAGAGATGTTGATGCAAGTGAAAGAACCCATGATTAGGCTCTGTATGATGACATTAAGTTGTTAGGCCTCCATCACTCAGGCCCAGAGATCTGCAAGTGATCATGGCGACCAAGTTTGCATCTAGTTGCATGAAAGACACCAGCTTGTTTGCGAACACTGACCAGAGTGGTTTCAAGTGTTTCTCATGTTCCACTGCTGCTTGGCCAGTAGTTGGTGAGTGTTTGCAGACAAGTTGAGGTCTGCAAAGCAACTACGGACAACCGGAGCAACTGGGCAAATAAGTCAAAGAGATTATTGATGCAAAATTATAGTATCAGCTTATGTTTAGCACTGAAAGAAATTCAGGAACCTAACCAAAAACTTGTGGAGATGTGGAAAAAAATGGTTATTTATTTGACTGAACTAATGCTAATATTATAATGTAAATATATATTCTACCAACAGAATTAAAGTCTTAGAGATAAATCAATGCATGCTTTGACTATTTTTTTTGGCATTTATCAAGGAGTTTTTGCGTTTACAACAGCGGTCCCCAACCCCCGGGCCTCGGACCGGTACCGGTCTGTGGGTCATTTGGTACCGGGCCGCGAGAGTTGAGGCTCAGGTGTGAAATGTATAATTTTCAGGGTTTTTATCAGTTTTCAGCGTTATTTTGTTATCATTTTTATCGTTAGCTCTGTTTTCCTGGGTCTTTTCACGTGTGTTATGAATAAATCTTCTTTTTTTCGGTACCGGTACTAGTTTTATTTTGTTGTATTTATCCGCGACACCTTAAAGGCCGGTCCATGAAAATATTGTTGGACATAAACCAGTCTGTGCCGCAAAAAAGGTTGGGGACCGGTGGTTTACAAAATTATTACCACCATCTAAAATGTATGCCACGGTTGTCCTAAACTAACAATATTGCTCTTTACTAATCCACCAGTTTGCAAAAGCTCAAAATTGTTGTTATCCATGAATTTGACCAGATTAGTTATTTACTCATCTAAAAATCAGTTTTAGTAGATTACGCTTGATTAATTTCCAACTTCTCAGAGACATCCAGTATGCTGGCTCAAGTTTAGTTATAAGAATATGAACTCAGT